AGAATAGCTCAGGTCAGAGCTGTCCAGAGAGCTGAAGATCCTCCTCACTGCCAATGAGCGAGCCAGCTCATCTGAACACAGGCCTGAGACTCACCTTAGTTGAGCCAACCATCGAATCATGAGCTAGATGGGTAGTTATTTTAAGCCAGTTAACTCAGAGGGTTTTGTTACTCAGCAAGATTCCTTTCCCTGCCACCTGAAGGTTCCACACATCACATTCGAGCCATTCTGCACTCACAGATGGAAAGAAATTCCTTCTTTCACTCTCCAGGCGACACGCAGGAAGTAAACACTACTCTTCAGTTCTCTTTTAACTCTCTTGCTTGGTAGCAAGACTTTTAAAATTTTGCTTTTTGAAGGCTTATTGTTTTATTTTCAATTATGTATGTGTCTGTGCATATGTGGGTGCAGGCCCCCTCAGAAACCATGGTCATTGGCTCTCCCAGGAGCTGGAGTTACAGATGGCTGTAAACCAATAGAGGTGCTGGGAACTGAAACCCTGGTCCTCTGTAAGCAGTGTGCATTCTTCACTGCTAAGCCTCCTCTTCAGCCCCTGCCAAATAGTATTTTAAATAATTACCTTATCATATGGCAGCAATAGAAGATACACTGCCAGTAAGACACAGCAAAACCAACGTTTGGCACCACAGCACATTATACACACGGGAAATAATTTGGATCACAATTTTGTTTTGTTTTGAGGCAGGGTGTATGTAGTACTGGCTGTCCTGTAATAATCTGAGGTGCAGAGCAGGTTGGTCTTGAACTCAGAGATCTCATTGCTTCTACCCGCCCCCCCCCCCAATGTTGTAACTAAAGGAACATGTCACCATGCCTGGCTAGATCAATTTTTGTAGTGAGTTTTGTTTTAACAAGACATAAAAAAAATTTTATGGGCAAATAAATGTTTAATTATCTCTTTACCATGTCATTGGAATAATTTTTTATTGTTCTCTTTATTACGTCGTTTATATTTGCCACATATACCTTGACTACATACAGGCACAGGTCTATCTTTGTTGCTCATTTCCTGCCATCTGATTGGCCTTGACCCAATATATCATTAGCAAGGATACCCCCACACCTCCCCAAAGCAGATTCTTAATGCCCTTGGCACTTTTAATTTTTGGAGTTGAAAGTACTTTAATATTCACCGAAGCACCTTTTGACATCTCTGGGTAGGAAAATCATGTCAAATTATCATTATTGGCTTTGTATGGGGAAAAAAATGGAAGCATATAAGGGTGAAATACACACAGAGAGATGTTGACAGTCGTGGTAGATGTGGATTTTTAGCTCCACACCCTACTTTGTGGGTTTTTTAAAATACATTCCATAGCAAAGCTCTAATGGCTTTGTTGAATTTAGTAACATCGTTCTTTGGATGGATATTAGCAGAATTTCTGCCATTCCATCATTCTGGCACCGTAGTTGTTTCCTGTAGTTCTTCATGTTAATGAAAGAGCCCCATAAATTGCAGAGCTGTTCCCTATGTTTGCATTAAAAATCACAGTCAATCCCCGTGACCAAGGGAGAAGTGCAATCAGGAGGAAGAAACCTGTGCCAGATGGGCCTCTCTCTGTTCAGCTGAGTGTTTATGGCGGCACAATGGCCATTAGAAACACGTGTAGAACCTTTTGGACTACAAAACTATTCACTTAGCTTTTTCTCCAGTGTCTGAGAACCAGTGCTCATGACAAACCCACCCAGGTGGCCTCTTTCCATTTTCAACTGCTTTATTGCAAAAGGAGCCATGCCAAAAGAAAGTCAGCTATAGGATAGTTAATTTTCTTATATTTTCTTATATTCACCTCAGGGAGATTTGATTTGTAATTGTGTGTGTGTGTGTGTGTGTGT